CTCCTTGGCTCATCCTGATCTTCCCTAAAATGTCTGATCCATCTAAAAACTATTATTTTATGTGTCTGCAGCTATCCATAGATTATAAAGATACATGTAAACATGTTTGGGGGGATAAACCTGTGTGCGTACAAACTAGAACCTTAGTAGCAATACTTTTGGACCGATCCTTAGGTCCTCAAGAAATAGCAGTATCTACTGACCATACCATTAAGGGGACTTACAAATGACGAACTAGATGATCTAGTTATTTATTGCAAATGTATGCTAAGTTCTCCTCAGCATTGGATTTTACTTGGACAAATATTTTTGAGCCTACATGTAATAGTAGCTACTAAGAATGCCAGAATGACTCTAACTCACAGAGGAGAAGAGGAACCAGATATTTCACCAGGAATTAAAAACAAAGAAAGATGAGTATATTGAATGTAAGCCAGGACTTACAAAGCAGAATATAGGGAATTTATTTAATACCATTCAATAAATTCAGATTCTTTGAAATTCTGCCATTTTATCTGAATAGAGAATAAGAAGGAATTGATGGAAGTTGTACTTGGATCGGTGTTTTCAAAACCGCCTATTTTAATGTCTCCCATTAACTTACATTTATGTCTATATACGCTGTTGTTGAGGTGTCTTTGAGTTGCTTTTTGACTCATAATGACTAGAGTAGTAGAGTAAATATAAAGCCTACATGGTTTTGTACATTGTAATTTGAGAACTTCAAAATACACAGAGCAAAAACTGAAGGAATTAAAAAATTTTAAAGACACATTTACCAAATAATTAGCAATTTTAACTCTCAATAGACTAACCTGATCAAGTAAAAAACTCAGTTAACAGCAAGTCTAAGAAATACTACAGTCACTGTATCTATTTAATATCTATATTTTATTACATTCAGCAACTCCAGAATATATGCTCTTTGGAAAGGCACACCGTAGTAGATTCATTAAGCAGCAATATGCTAGCATAAGAAATAATTCTAAGAACATTTCAAAAGATGATCTCAATCTTTGTTTGACCATAACATTTAAGTTAGAAAGCAATAAACACCCTTTTTCAAATTAAGCATACTTAATATTCTATGAGTCAAGTAAGAATTTTAATGGGAAACCATAAAAGAACATAAAAAGCAACTATAAAAAGCTTTTAGAAGACAATGTAAACTATCTTTGTGGCCTCAGCAGAGACAAAAGTTTAGTTCAAGGCAGAACACAATACTACTATAAAACAAAAACTGATACATTAAGACTTTATAAAAGCTTAACATATTTATAAAACAAATGTATCTGACAAGCTCTTGACTGGAGAATTTAGAAAAACCTCCAACTCAATAATAAGACAACTTAAATTTTAAAAGGCCAAAAGATCTGAACTTCACAAAGGAGGATTACCAATAAGTAAAATAAGACTCAATATTATCAGTCATAAGAAAAAGGCAAATTAAAATTACAATGTGATGCCACCAGAATGGCTAACATTATAAAAACGTTTATCATTTTAATCAACTATTAGCAAGGATGTAGAATAAATGAAATATTCACGTTACTGGTGAGAGCGCAAAATGGCACAAGCACTTTGGTAAACAGTTTGACAGTTTCATAAAAGGCCATACATTTAGTACACAACATAGCACCACCTCCTTTCCTAGGTGTTTCTTTACCCAAAAGAAAAAGAAACATGGCTACAAAAAAAAAAAATTCACAGCACCGCTATTCATACTAACTAAAATTATGATTATTATGAATATTCATCAACAGGAGAATGGATAAACAAACATGATATACTCATTTAACAAAATACTATAAGCAATAAAAACTACTTGGATAAATCTCAAAGGCGTTATGTGGAAAGAAAGAAACCAGGCACACTAAAATATATATTGAATGACTGTAGTTACATAAGAAGTTTCAGAACAAGAAAAGTCATTATGTGGTCAAAAAGCATCAGAAGAGTGACTGCTTCTGGGATAGGTGGCAATGGAAATAGCTCAGGGGCATAAGTGAACTTTCTGAGGTGGCAGACATGGCTGACACCTTAATAAGGATTTGGTTTACACAGATGTAAGCAATTTATTTAAACTTTCATGGTCTGAATATAAAGAACAGTTCCTAGGTAAAAAGAATCCAACAGACTCTGGATGCGGTTCAGGATTCCACCTATGGTCTTATGAAATGCAGAGGCTCCACAGGAAGCCTCCTTCACTGGCACATAGTAGCCCCATTTTAGGTATTCCAATTACTTATAAGCAGAAGATGGACTTACAAGCTTTCTATGGTGCTATTTCTGGCTATTCCTTTCTATTTTATAATGGTATGCCAGGGAAACCAAGATTCCTGTGGAGCCTCTGCTTTGCATAAGACCACAGGGGTATCCTGAACTCCATTCAGAATCTTTTGAGGTAGGAAACTTCCACTTGAAAGGACAAGTAGAATAGTCTGGAATGGCTGAAAGAACAGAATATACTTCTTAAAAGAAACCCTGACAGGAAAAATACAAAACAATATAGTAGTCTGCCTGATTACTACAAGAGCAAGCAAGTTGCTCACCCAGGAGGCATCAAGCCAAGTGGGTCAGGTCCCCTCAGGGCAAACCCCCTTCCAAGACTAAGACCCAATGGGAATACACGCTCTGATTGGCGACCACGTTCGTCACCGATAAGGGGAAGTGAGGGAAAAACAGCAATGAAGCTGCAAGCTAAGCCCTACAACGTTCAATAGACTCTTGTGAACCCGGGTGGAGACCTAGTTGGCCAGCAGTGTGGCAAGACCTGGGGACTCTTGAGCCCAGAGTCAGTGACATAGCCACAGAGGACTAGAGTGGAGAGTGAAGCATCCAGCTGATAAGAAGAGAGGGCATAGGCATAAGAACATCAACACTTGCAGATAATACCCACTTATCCTGGCTTCAATGACTGGATGATCAGAGCTCAACTAGAAGAAAGAAGAGGAAAAAAAGAGTAATTTGATACAATTTGATGAACTTGACCTACACCTATGAATGCAGTAGCTCAAAAGAGGGAACAAATCTTTACAGCGAGGATCATTTATACCCCCTTAGTACATGGGTAGACAGGGATGGGCAACACAAAGGCAAGAAGTGACTGACTGGCTTACAAGCTTTCAAGAGGGAGCCTAGATCCAGAGGGCGCAAAGAAAGGTAGACTCTCCACTGAGTACTATCCAATCTGTCTGAGCAGGGATGATGAAAGGAGATGCAGATAAGTTTCTTGTGATACAATAGTGATTAACTGTTATCAGGACTGACCGTGAGGGTTGGAAATGTAAAGGTGGACATTTTGTAGCAAAAGGAGGGGAGTGATTGACTTTGCAGTCTAGGAGCAGAGGTCCCTGGGACCATCAAGGGAGAAGTATGGAGTGCGGGACCCTACCCATAGAAACAGTGACACCAGAGATGGAGGCAGAGACGATGACATGGACAGATGGAGCAGCTCAGGACTTTAGACCCAGAGACGAAAAGGGGCTGTGTGCTGACAACCAGGGGGGCAGGCTTGCACCCTTTGATTGGTTGATGATGTATGGAGGGGATTGTAACCATGGCCATGAAACGATATGATAGGATGAATGTAAAGCTAATGTTCTCCCATGTAAACTATTAATTCACAATAAAACATTAAAAAACAGAACAAAAATGGATAAAGGATACAACACCAAGGTGATTTCCACAAGAGAAAACCTAAATAGCCAAGAAATATATAAAACATGTCTTACCATGTCCTGGTGGGGCACTGCAAGATACTGTCCTGGACCACTAGATCAGTTTGAATGACACGGTTGGTGATTCAAACTCACCAACTGCTCCTTGGAAACCCTTTACAGGGTCACTATAAGTCAGAACCAACTAGACGGCACTTTACAACACCACCTATCTCCACAGCAAACAAGGCAACTGCAAAATAAATCTCCAATGCCGTATTAACTTACACTTACATTTTGGCAAAAACTTAATAGTAAAATGAAGCACTGGAGTAAGGATAAAAAGGATAAAGACAGAGTGGAACGATCCTAGGAAGTGTTTAACTGTAAAGTGCACAGAAGAGCTTTTAGGCAACTACTAATAAATTTGAAGATTTGTATCATCCCCAATAATCCAAGTTTGATTACTAGATAATAAATATCCTAGAGAAAGTATCACACATGTCCATCAGGGGAAGTAAATTAACATTAACTTTAGAACAAAAAACAGGAATCAAGGCCAAATGCACACTAAGAATTAAATAGATTAATTTTGGTAAATCTTCATACTGTTGAGATATATATCACAGTGAAGTAAAATAATCGATACTTAAGTGAAAAGGGCAAGTGATAATACATGCAGCATTGATCCATTCATGTACCAGTTTAAGAAACAGACAAAACTAATCTATACAGTAATCCAAAGGTCATATTAATCTCCCGGGCTTCAAACTGGTTCAGTCATGCCTGACACAGCAAAATTAGAACAGACCCAACTTTGGAAACTGTGGGTGTACCAGAACAATAACTGGACTGGTTACAGGGATGGGAGACTTGGAAAAGGAATAGTAGGCCCTTCGAGGAGGTTGATTTTAGAGACAGGTTATTGCCAGGACTGCGGAGAGTGACACACTCAAAGTGGTGTCTTCTCTAGGAGGGAGGCTAATTTGTTTCCATTCTAATACAGCCACATTTTACAAATCCGGGTCTGTACCAATTTCGTTTTGTCAGCCACAACTATACTTGGAAGAACCAATTTAACGTCTTGACAATTTCTAATAATTCTTCTATAATGAATTATGACTTTATGATAACCATGGAACTACTTTGTTAGGTATTATGGATTAGAAGTCTGGTAATAAAACACAAGCATACAGACATTCTGCAGGTATAGTTTCAATAGCAGATTATTCCTGTGCTGGGTCTCCCCAGACACCGACCCACAGCTCCCCTCACCCCACCCCTTCAGCATCACAATAAAGACTGTAAAAAACTTCTAGAGTATTAAATATATAACCCTACCTCTTTCTCTAGAGGTTTAGATGCAACAAAGCGCGTTCTCTCTCGTCTCATCTTGCCGCCTCCGCTACTCACTCCAGAAGATAATCCATTGGCGGCAGGCGTACTGAAATTTGGGTATGAAAAACCACTAGGTAAAGAAACAGAAAGCAATTGATACATTACTATGTAGTCCATAACTAAACTGTTCTCAAATAATTAAACGTACAGGTAAATGTGATTTAGAAAACAAATTACTCTTTGGTGTTTAAAGAGATTCTCTCTTCGATTCTTCGTGATTTTCAAACAGGTAAATGTAAATCAAACACGGACCTTAGCAGATCTACATATGAGGATGTGAAGCTGTATGCGAAATAGCATTACCTTTCTCCCTGCTCTCTGTTTTGTCCTGATGTCATAGATTTTTCACATCCAGTCTAGAAAAAAGCATATACATTTACAAGGTAAGTTTATTTTCTCTATTTTAATAGCAAATGTTACACCTATAAATTTAATATTTGGATCCAGGAGTTCATGATTCTTTTATGACTCCTGAATTTGAAACCGTACCCAAGAGTTATAGTACAATTGTATACATCTCACTGAACTCAACTGCCTTTTAAACAAAATGGTAGCATACAGATCAAATACACCTAACAGCCATAAAACTATTTTTACTTGTATGTCACTGTGGTGTATAAATTGTACAAATACATAACTATATAATTTTTGAAATGATTCTCTGCAACTTAAAAGCCTCTTCATTAAAGAGGAACTAGAAATGGCTGGATGATTAGAACTCAACTAGAGGAAGAATGAAGAAGAGAAAGAAAAAAGTAATCCATTACAATGTGATGAACTTGACCTTATACTCATTGATGTAATAGCTGAACTTGACCTATACTCATTGAAGTAATAGGTCAAAAGAGGGAACAAATCTTTACAGTGAGGGTCATTCCCACCCCCTCGGTACATAGGGTTGACAGGGATGGGCAACTTAAGACACTGGCTATCCAAAATGAGAGGCGGGTGGGGGCGGGCACTACAAATGTACCAAGTGATTGGTTTACAAGCTTTCAAGAGGGAGCCTAGTTTCAAAGGGTGCAGGGGAAGTAGAATCTTCACTGAGTGGTTTCCAACCTGTCTAGATGGGGCTGGTGAAAGTAGCTAGGGATAACACTCTTGTGGTTCAACAGTGAATAATTGCTATTAAGACTGACTGTGTGTGTTGCAAATGTAAAGGTAGACACTGTGTAACAAAAGGAGGGCAGTGGTTAGTCTTGAAGTCCAGGAGCAGAGAACCATGGGACCATCAGGGGAGAAGAGTGGAGTGCGGGACCCTATCCAGAAAAACAGTGACACCATAGATGGAGGCAGAGACAATTATGTGGAGAGATGGAGGAGCTGGGGACTGTAGACTCAGGGAGGGAGAGGGCTGTGTGCTGACGGCCAGGGGGCAGGCTTGTGGTGTGTACTTTTGGTTGTTTGAATGATTACATATTCCCGAATGTTTCGCTGTATAGCCAGAAAAGAAAAGAAAAAAAAAAAGAGGAAATAGAAGCAAATATTGTTGAATGATGATGCATGGAGGAGATTGTAATCACTGCAATGAAAAGAAATATGTAAAGCTGATGTTCGCCCATCATGATAGTAAACTATCATTCAATTCACAATAAAAACTTAATAAAAAAGAAATAGCTTGTTTCCTCAGTGCACTGAGTTGATGGGAACAGGTGATTTAGACATTGGCTATCAAAAATGGGGGGGGGGCTATAAAGGCACAAAGTGTCTGGCTTACAAGCTCTCATGGGTATACTTCATTTCAGACTGAGGTGGGTAAGGTAGATTACCCACTAAATAGTTTTCCTCTTTTCCACACGGATCTGGTGAAAAGGGGTGGGGGATAATGGTGATAGGATTTTATGGTTCAATTGTGAGTAACTGTTAGCAGGATTCATTGTCATCATCACAACTATAACTGAAGAAGATGTATAACTAAAAGAGGGAAGTAGTTCATCTTTCATTACAGAAACAGACAATCTCAGGACCATCAAGAAGGAAGAGCATGAGTGGAACATGAGGTCCCTACCTAGAAAAGTGCTGACAGCAGAACCAAACGCAGAGGTTGATGGCATGGAGAAAAAGAGCCGCTACAGGCTCTAGGCCCATGAACCGGAGGCTGACATTCAGAATACACCCTGTGGGCATTGACATTAACCTATATTTTTTTGTTTTGCTTTATTCATTTGTGAAATATAAGATGTAAAAGGAAAGGCACAGGTAAGAAGCAGGATAACTGTTGCTGCAGGGAGGGGATTGTAATCATTGAGATGAAACAAAATATAATTTGTTGAACATAAAACTAATGATCTTGTCTGTTAGCAAAGTAAATAATTTGATAACCACAAAGCTGATGATCTTGTCCACTTACTTTCACTCAATTCACAATAAATAATAAATAAAAACATTTAAAAAAAAAAAAAAGGGAACTAGAAGTCATCAATAGGAGACCAAATAGCCGAAGTCTGTTGTTGCTGAGTGCCATGGAGTCAAGTTCTAATTCAGAGCGACCCTGTATAGGGTTTCCAAGGCTGTAATTTTTTCAGGAGCAGAAAGCATCATCTTTCTCCCCCAGAGCGACTGGTGAGTTTGAATTGCCAACCTTGAGACACACAGTCCAGTGCCTATCCTACAGGGCTGCCGACCTCCCTGGTCAAAAATTACTCTACAGCAAAGATGAGAAGGTAAGACAGGAAGGAAAACAGAGTACCAGCAAGTGTCACAAAACGCTAACTGGTGAATCAAAATTAAAAAGGACACAGGAAATCACTGTTTGCAAATTTAAAAATTTTCAAGAAACTGGGTTGCCATAACCAACAACTAACTTTAAATATAAAATATAATCATTAGATACTATGAAAAATCTCCACTGGATAGTTTTTCTCTTTTCCAGATGGGATGATGGTGACAGGATTTTATAATTCAATTATAAATAATTGTTAGCAGGATTAACTGTGATTATCATGACTCTAATTGTAGAAGATGTGCACCTAAAAGGGGGAAATAATCTTTCATTTCAGGAGCAGACAATCCCAGGACCATCAAGAAAGAAGAGCTATGTGCTAGATCCCCACCTAAAAACGCAGTGATGGCAGAGATGGAGGCGTGGAGAGACAGAACAGCAGTGGCGTATACAGGCCCATGGGCTGAGTAAGGCTGTGTGCCGGTGGGTAAGAGGCTGGCTTGCAGAATGTGCCGTTGGACATTTTAAAGGAATATATGTTTTCTGTTTTGTATGTGTACAAATATTTTTGCTTTGTTCATTTGTGAAATATAAGATGTAAATGGGCAGCCACAGGGAGGAAGTAGGATGACTGTTGTTGCAGGGAGGGGACTGTAATCATAAGATGAAACAAAGTGTATAATTTGGTGAATATAAAGCTGATGGTCTTAAGTGCAAACCACCCAATTCACAATAAAGAGTTGATAAAACAAGGAAACAGACAAAGCCCAGATGTTCTTGTTGTTAAGTGCTATGGAGTTGGTTCCAACTCATAGCGACCCTGTGCAGGTAGGGTTCTCAAGCAGTGCCTGTTGAGTTTGAACCAGTGAGTGTCAACAGCTGCCCTTGCAGTTCAAACCAAACTTACAGTCCAGCACATTATCCAGGACCCCAACATAGAAAGTAGGACATTTAAAATAAGACAACTGGCCTAATTCCATTCCTATGTTTATACCATGTGAGAGAAATGAAAGCGTATCTGAACACATATAAATATCCAAAGTAGCATTCTATAGTCAAAGAATGAATGAAAACAATGATATGGATCTTTACTGGACGAATGGCTTAACATAATGTGGTCCATTCCCACAAGAGAACATTACCCATCAGTAAAACCCAATGAAGCACTGGTACATGTTACAATAGGAATGAACCGTGAAAATACCAAGTATAGAACAGAATTTCATATTCTCATGAAATCTAGACATTCTGGAGCCATGGGAGGCTGGATGAACCCCAAAACTACTATCCCAAAATAATCTTTAAACCAAAAGTATCTCTAAATACTTCTTAAAACCAAACAATAATCTAGTTTACCTGATAAAAAATGTCTACCTTGAGTACTATGCTCTTTTAAGAACTGTCTCTATGGGATCAAATGGGCAGCAGCAAATGGAAAGACGGGATGCAGAACCTTAGTGGATAGTGAGTTTATGCTTATGGGGGAGGAAGAACCCAGAAAATAGAATGATTATAAAACTCAATGAATATAATCAATGTCACTGAATTATACATTTGAAAGGTGCTGAAGTGGCATATAGTTAGCTGTGTATAGTCTCAGTAACAACAAAATCCATTACACTAAGTAAAAGGAATCTAGCCACTAAAGGCCATACATTGTGATTCCATTTATATCAAATGTTCAGAACAGGGAATTAAGTACCATCAAGTGGGTTCCAAATCATAGTGAATCACAATAGGGGACTTTAGGATAAGCACTGGACTGTGAACCACCAACGTCAGTGCTTCAAGCTCACCAACTGCTCTGCAGGGAAAAAAAAGAGGCTTTCTGCTCCCACCAAGATTTATAGTCTCAGAAACCCTGTAAGGGTCCCTTGTGTTGGAACCAACTTGAAGGCACTGAACAACAACAGGTGTTTGGAGAGGGGGAAAAGAGAAGGAAAAGAAGTGACTGGGTTTGTTGTTGTTTTGGGGGAAGGTGGTGATGAAAATGTTCTAAAAATTATGTTGGTAATGGTTGCATAACTCTGAATATAAAAAATCCACTTAAACCAGTTGAATGTTAATCTTACGCCAAGTAGTGGAGGAGGGCAAAAAACCACCCGCATGGTATCTTCAGACAGTTCAACAGCAAACAAAACACACAGACAAAAGAAGTCTGGCAAAATTATTTGCCCCAGAATACAAGTATGTAACTGTTTAACTAGGTTAATATTAATTTAGAATTTGATCAACTTTCTGTTATTCTAAAGGCATACCAATACAAAATCAAAGCAACCAACTCACTAACTGTATGCTTCACCCAGTGAGGCCTGACTGCAATGACAGACTACCAGTACTATATATTTTTTATTTTATTCATTTTAATCACTAAAGACTCTGGTGAAAAGAAAACATATACTCACACTGTGCTTTTTGTCTATTCTTTGATTAGTCTTCCTCAATTCACCAGATGGGGTAAGAGATGGCTTAAAATAAATACTTCGATTAGTTGCTATGGAAACTGGTTTGGGGGTCATGAGTCGCTGAACAGGAGGATACTATAAGCAGAAATCAAAGAGAAACTTTTATTATTTAGATGAACACTGGACTACAAACCAAAGGCTGGTGGTTCAAACTCACCAGCTGCTCCTCAGAAACGAGTCAAAACCAACTCAACAGTACTTGTTGTTGTTGTTAAGTACTGTGGAGTCGGTTCCGACTCATAGTGACCCTGCACAGGAGCAAAACACCTCATCTTTCTCCTGCGGAACCGCTGGTAGTTTCGAACTGCTGACCTTGAGGTTAGTACCCCAATTCGTAACCACTACGCTACCAGAGCTCCTATAGACACAAACAAATGATGAGAGAAAAGGCAAGCTCTAAGAGCCATGGGCATATATCAGGTGGTGCTGTGGGTTAATAATGCAGGTTTGACCTGCATGGTCAGCAGTTCAAGTTCACCAGCCACTCCTCAGAAACCCCATAAGGGGTTGTTATGCATTAGAACCAACTCAACAGCACTTAGCAACAACAAGAACGTGTAATTCTAAGAATCCTGGTATGGCGCTGTAGGATAAGCACTGAACTGCAAGGTCAGTTTAAACTATAAGGTTGGCAGTTCAAACTTACCAGCCACTTCTTAGAAACCCTATACAGGGTCACTATATGAGTTGGAGCCAACTTGATGACACTTAACAAGAGCAACAATATAATTCTATTTAAAATAATTTCAAAGATAATTAAGTATGTTTTCCAAACATAATACTTCTCATACACACATGAAAACATACACAAGATGGAATTATATTCAAAACAGCTTTACAACACCAGAGATGGAGGCAGAGATGAGGACATGGAGACAGAAAGAGCTGCTGAGGACTACTAGATTCATGGGAAGAGAAAGGCTGTGTTGCTGGCCGTCAGGAGGCAGGCTTGCAGAATGTGTCCCTTGGTTGTTTAAATGATTATATATTCCTGACTGTTTTTGTGTACATCGCCCCGCCCCCTCAAAAAAAAAAAAAGAGGGAATAGAAAAAATACTGTTTAATGATTTAGAGAAAGGCTGTGTTGCTGGCCGTCAGGAGGCAGGCTTGCAGAATGTGTCCCTTGGTTGTTTAAATGATTATATATTCCTGACTGTTTTTGTGTACATCGCCCCGCCCCCTCAAAAAAAAAAAAGAGGGAATAGAAAAAATACTGTTTAATGATTTAAAAAAAAAAAAAAAAAATCCCAAATATAAGCTTTTAATTGTAAATGTTAACTGAAATTGATGTTATCACATTTGCCCCACATTACTATCTCAATTTTCTTCGACTGCAAATTAAAATATTATAAGCTACTTATGAAAATACTTAATTCCAAAAAATGTTAGCCAATCTCCCTCCCACTGGTTATTTAAAAAAATTTTTAAAGGCTTAAAAGTTAGATGTAATTGGTAAAAACTAGTAAGACACCCAGATTATGGCACAAACTGGCTTCATTATCTAAGTATACAATTGTTTTGTCAATGGTTTCTTGCTACACTAAAACATATAAAAACCCTGTAGGAGAGAGAGGACTAAAGCCAAGGGTTTCTCTTCTGTCCAAAGATTGTTAACACTATGAATAGAGTCTTTTCAGTAAGAAACAGCTGTGAACAGCACTGGCTTCCAGGGCAAAACTCTTTGTATAAGTTATTAACTCTTCCCTAATCCTTATGCCAAGTGTGACCCTAACGTCAATGATTGTGCAGATTACATCCGTGAAACATGAACTACAGTATCGCAATCTAGCCTTTATGTCTCCTAACACTTACTAATAAATTTTATTGATAACTATTGTTGTTAAGTGCCATCATAGCAACCCTGCACAGTGTTTCTGAGGAGCAGCTGGTGGGTCTGAATGCTGACCTTGTAGTTCACAGTCCAGTGCTGATCCTACTGCACCACATCATGAATCCATTGATACTATGTTGTTGTTAAGGGCCGTCAAGTTGCTTTCGACTCATAGCAATCCTATATCGTTTCTAAGGCACAGGTGGTGGGTTTGAACCATCAACCTTGTAGTTAACACTCCAGGGCTGGTCCTACAGCTCCATAGCAGGAGTCAGTTCCCCAAATTATTCACAGGATAAATGATTTTAATCAATTACTTCTCGGGCATTTGGTATTGCCACAGAGGCTTTTATAAGTGAGCATGTGGAAACGTGTTTCCTAAAGGACGCTTTCTTGTTGGTTAAGTGCCATCAAATCAGTGCCAGCTCAAAGCAACCCTGTGTAGGGTTTCCGAGGAACAGTGTGTGAGTTTAAATCACCGACCTTGTGGGCTAGCAATGCAGTGCTTACCCTAGAGTGCCACACGGAACTCCAAAGGAGACTTACCAAGACACAAATGTCTCAAAAAAGACACTTCTTTAACCCTAATTATCAAGCATTTCACTTTACTTTTTCTTACATAACCTCCAAGTCTAATTTTAACCCAATAAAAAACATACTCAAGTGCATCAAGATATAACCACATTACATTATTTATTAAACTCAATGTCTTAAAACAGCATTTTTGGCTGACTGAACAGAACACCTTCTATAAGAAATTATATTACATACGTTTGACATATATTGGTTAAATGAGGAAAGTTTACAAAGATAACTGTGTTCAGTAATGACATTAATTCACTAAACTTCTAATTACTAAGCACTTCAAAGCTTCATGTCCTCCTGTTTTTACTTATCAAAAGACTGTCACGCCTTAGACAGGCAGCGTCCCTTAAACAAACAATAAGGAGGATTCGGATGCAGACCGTGCAGACCCGGTCAGGAGGCCAAGCCCCTGTGGGCCCAAGCGTTGTTGACCATCCAAACCATAGGCTCTGAGGATCAGACTTTAGCTACCTAGTAGACATAGCAAACTGTCCCTCATCTGATTATTCAGTAATGCTTGTTAGTAATCTCATACATGAGCCCTGGATATCCACAGACAAATGTAAAAACCTTCCCTAAAAGCCGAGACTGTAAATTCCAAAAAGGCAAGTCCCACCCCCATCCAAAAAAAAAAAGCTAAAGAGGATAGAAACACTGTTAACTGATGATATATGGAGGGGATAATAATCAATGTAATGAAACAAGCTATATGAATGGTTGAATGTGAAGCTGATGATGTGCCCTGTAAACTTTCACTCAATCCAAAATAAAAACATTTAAAAAAAAAAAAAAAAAAAAAGACTGTCAACATGCCAAAAACAGGCACGCCAAGTAATCAAAAAGCACTGGGCATCTACTACTTATACAGCATCTTGGTGAGGTTACAAAATCCACAGGAAAAACCATCTTACTTTCAAGCACGTACAGTAATGACTACCAACGAATTCAAATCTGTACATTGGATCAACTGAAAAGAAACAAAGTGAACTGCTGACACTTTAAATAAATACTAAAGTCATCCTTACCTTTTCTCTTTTGGCTTGATAATCTGAAATATCTACTCCACTCCTATGAAGAGGCTAAAATAAATAAAAATACTATTAGGAGTCCATGGAAACCAGTAAATGATGGCTCATATGGATTAAAAAAAAAAAAAATGTACTAAGAGTCAACTTACAGAATCCAAAGGTGAAGAAACAGACGGAATTCTTTTTGCATCCTATTAATGTTGAAATAATTAATTAAAAATTTTCACTAAACTCAAAGGTTAATTTGTTACAATTTGTTACACTCCTGTATTTAATCATAATTTTAAATTTTACCGCTAGAGGACTTGACATCTTCTCTAAAGATTGTAATATTCGCCGGGCTGTTGAGCTAGTCACACCGTAAGATTGTGCAGTGAGTTGCTTGGCTTTCATTTGCCTTCTGACTGGGGCCTGTAAAGCAAACTCTATATTATTTCTTGAAATGTAAAATCTAAAGCACACATTTCATGCAGTGAGAAATTACCCAACAGAATGGATATCCAATGTTAATGATGAGTTATCTCTGGGGCAATGCCATTAAACATTTTTCCTTACGGCTCTCTTGAATATCCAATTCCACTCCTGCTAAACTATTTTTATAAACATCAAAAAGTGGTAAGAAAGTTTACCACTCTAAGATCAGTTAGCTCTGTTAAATGGGTAAAACAAGGTTTTGGCCAAAAAACAGGCTTGCCTTAACCCATGTACCCTAACAGTTAAATGAAAACAAGCACTACATTATCATAAATATTATATAATTTTGATTATAGTATATACCAACATACCTAAACAAACATGTTTACTACTACTAATGCCCCCCCAACAAATTTTTATATAATAAAAACATTTTTAAATACTTGGACTATTCTTAATAAATGAGGGTTCAAATGTCTTAAAACTGGGGTGAGAGAAACAACTTAAACTTCTTTTCTCAAGACTGTATAACATTTAGATAATCAAGTGACTACCACAAGATAATCTGGCGGAACAATTTCCACTCTATATAGCAACGACTAATATGTAAAGGTGTGGCACTGCAAGATAATGTGCTGAACGGAAAGGGAAGTATGACAACAACAACATATGACACAAGATATACTATCACATAGTCCTGGTGTGGTGCTGTGTGATAACACACTGGACCACAAGGTGGGTTTGAAGTTCAAGGTCGGCAGTTCAAATTCACCAGCCGCTCCTCGGAAACCCTATACAGGGTCACTATGAGTAGGAACCAACTAAACAGCACTTAACAACAATAATACTATCACTGGAGTCCTGGCGTGGCACTGTGGGTTAATGTGCTGGACTGCAAGGTTGGTTTGAAATGCAAAGATGTCAGTGGGTCAAGCTCACTAACCACTGCTCAGAAACTCTATACAGGGTCGCTATGAGTTGGAATCAACTCAACAGCATTTAACAACATACCATCATAAAGTTAACTTAGTTTTTAGAAAGGGCTCATATCTGAAAAACTGAATCATAACAATGTTTATCTAATTCATTATCCTCACAGTAGGTACAAGATTATACACAAGTTTTCTTAATATATTGATATTCCCTTAGGGATTGCTGCTCGGCCTGGAGGCTTTGAAGATTTTGGCAAACATGAGGCACCATTAAAATATCCTCCAGAAAAGGAGCACATATGGATCGTGGGACCCTATTCAGAGAAGCAGCAACACCTGAGATGGAGGAGGAGGTGAGGACATGGAAAGATAGAGCAAATGTAGACTCTAGACTCATGGAAAGAGAAAGGCTATGTGTTGGTGGCCAGGAAGCAGGCTTGCAGAATGTGCCCTTTGTTTTTATTTCAATGATTACATATTCTTAAATGTTTTTGTATACAAACCCCCAACCCCAGTCCTCCCCACCCCAAAAAAAACCCCAAAAATAAAAGCAAATACTGTTGAATAATGATGCATAGGAGATTTTAATCATTACAGTCAAATGATGAGTGCATAACTAATGTTCTCCCGTGTACACTATCACTTAAGTCACAATAAAAAGTTTTTTAAAAATCTTCCAGAAAAAATATGTTTGTCTTATCAATGGATTCTGCCAGTCTCTCAGGGTCTGAGTTCACAAATCAATAAAATGGAACATATTTAGAGATTTTTAAAATATGCCTACTAATTCTAACCTCTTTAGGGGGAAAAGAAAAAAAAGCAAATAGGCTTCCAAATAATTATAATTGACAATTGGGATGTAGTCTGTATGGAGAATGATTCTAAGGGTTCATCAAGACTGAGCAATTAAGAGTATATGATCCTATGAGTAACAGAGGAGGAAGCAGAAGAAACATACAGATGTAGACTAGTCTATCAATCACAGGAATGTGCCATTTTCTCTTCATCCAACTTGTTGAACTACTTTGTTACCTGATCTAGCTTAAGTTTCAGAAAAACCTCCTTTGCTTTTTTATAATAAAATTACCCTTCATAAAAACAGAGAAAAATTCCCCACAATTTCTGTCAATTAAAGTCTCTAAATAGGTAAGCAAGAACTCTAAAGCAAAGATCAATCTTCAAATCTTGTTTGTCGTGTCCATCTTAACACAGATTTCCCTTTTTGAAAGCCTACTTAAAAGATTACTCCTTCTTTAAAATGTCAACTTCTGTACTGTAAAAGAAAAGCACCATAACAATTTACACACACACACTCCACCCACAAATATGACCTCAAGAAACTCTTGGGACAAAGCATAGAATGGTACAGTTTATTCTGAATTTTTAAAAAGTAAATAAATTTTCAATTGTTTTTAATCAAAACTCACACTCCAAAGGAAAACTTCCCTATAAATAATGTTAGTTCAGTTAAGAAACCAGGAGAAAAGTGATTAGTCACCACATAGCTTAGGAGAGAAACACTCACAGCCCGTGCTCATGGACTGGAAGACTCAGTTTTGCTAAGATGTCCATCTCCCCAACTTGACCTTTAGAATCAAATGCAATCCCAATCAGAATCCCAGAAGACTTTGTAAAAATCGACATGCTGATTCTAAAATGTCAAGGAAAAGTATAGGACCTAGAAAGTCAAAACAAGCTTGAAAAGAGAAGAATAAAATTCAAAGACTCACATTACCTGATTCAAGACTTACTATATAAAACTACAGTAATCAAACCAGTGCAACCCTGGCAAAAAAAAAAAAAATGAGCACGTAGATCAATGGAAAAAGAACAGAAAGTCCACATGCATGATTACTGATTTTCAACAAAGGTGCAAAGGTAATTCAATGGAAAAAGAATGGTGTTTTCAAATAAAAGTTACTAGAACATGTACATGAAACAAAAAAGAACTTTGATCCACATGTCATAACACATTTTTAAAAAAATTATCTCAAAATGAATGAATCAGAGACCTAAATTTAAATCTACAACTATAAAAGTTCTAGGAAAAAATCTGTGGTCAGGGTCTAGGTAAAGATGTCTTATATATGACACCAAAATCATAAACCATTAAAGAAATAAAGAGTGAAACGAAACACAGCATATTAGATGTCATCAAAAGTAACAACTTTTGCTAAGAAAATGAAAAGACAAGTAAGAGAATGGGAGGAAATATTTGCTAAACTAATAAAAGATCTACACACCTTGATTACAAAATTCTCCAAATTCATTACTAAGAAAATGACCTAATTAAAGAACGGGCAAAAGGTTTGAACAGGCATTCAACCAAAAAAGAACCCTTTTTGCGGCAATAAAAATCCAAAAAAGATACTCAATTATTCTTAAGAAAATGCAAACTAAAACCCTAAGTTGGCGTTAACACTACATGCCTAGCAGAATAACTAAAAGAAAAATGAATGAAAATCAATACACTGACAGCATCAACTGCTAGTCAGGATGCAGAGCAACTGACATCCTCTTACATTACTGGTGAGAATGCAGAATCAACCACTCTGGAACTCAATTTGCCATTTTCTATACAGTTAAATGTACACTTACCATGTAGCCTAACAATCCAACTCCTAGGCCTTTACCCAAGAGAAATAAAAATTCACGTTCTCTATACAAAATGTTCACAGCAGCTGTATTCATAACTGCCAAAAATGAGAAACAACCCAGGTGCCCTCTCGCAGGTGAATGGATTACAAACTGCATTACAGCCATACTACTGAACCCTGAAAATGAACTACAGACATATGCAAAAACCTAGACTTACACTAAGTGAGTAAGACTCAAAAAGCTATATACTATATGATTACATTTGATATTCTGGAAAAAGTCAAGACTAGCAGAAAAGAAAACACCAGCAGTTTCTAGAGGGTAGAGGCAACAAGACAAGTTTGTAACATACAACTTTATCGGGGTAATGGAAACACTCGTTCAGTAACAACATTGTTTGTATCAAAACACACTCCAAAGGAAAACTTCCCTATAAATAATGCTAATTCAGTTAAGACACCAGGAGAAAAGTGATTAGTCACTACATTATCTTAGGAGAGAAACACAGTCACACACAATAATCTATTGAACAAAATGTTCACTTGTGTCTAATGTAACATTCACACAGTCCTTAAATGAAGTCATTTGTAAAACACAGTTCTATCACCTTATCAAAGGAGCTCTGGTAGCATAGTGGTTACGAATCGGGCTGCGAACCTTAAGGTCAGCGGTTCGAAACTACGAGCTGCTCCATGAGGCTTTCTACTCCCGTAAAGATTTACACCCTCGGAAACCCTGTACAGGGTTGCTATGGGTCGGAACCGACTCGACGGCACTTAACAACAACATCACCTTATCAAAGGAAAAAAGAAATGAACCAAAACTCTTTATTACTTTGAATGTCAACATCCATTTATCCTTTCCCTACGTAGAACAAGTTACCAAGTCTTCTATTCAAACCAACCTGATAGGGTGTATTTCGTAGTTTAGACTGTCTTGCAGCAGCTGCTGCCCCACCATATGTTGTTTTTCCAGGATAAAAAGGAGAATCTCCAAGCTGACTTGTTTTAAGGATTGAAGAATTCCCAAGAGACTGCATAGAAACACAATGATAAATTATGAGTAACAAACAAAACAAATGCAATGAAGTCCAACTCTTTAATACTCACAGGGGAAAGTGCTCCAAAGGCAGACAAGTTGAATGCTGGTTTTTTTGAGCTGGTGGCAGTGTGTTGTGAGAGTGAATGGGAACGTTCGGTCTCTGGAGACCATAGAGGTGGCACAGAAGTATTCTTTGAAACAGCTATATCTGAAACAAAAAATAGGAAATGCATAGTAATAGTTCTAATTACAAGTCCTACAGTTCTATAAATTTATATTTTATTATAAATAGAAAACTGAAATTACAACGGCATAAAATAATTCATTCCATGAAATTTAATTTTACTAACAACGTTATTTACTACAAATGTCAAGTATACCTTTATCAGAAGCTCTTGATGAAAAACCACTGGTAGTTGAGATGTTATCATCATCGTGCTGAGAGGTAGAATCTTTTATTTCCTTTACAAGGGAAAATCCAGAACTGCCTATTGGGAATGCCGAGGAGGTGGATGGCTGACAGTGCAATGCAGGGGAGTCCAACACAGAGAAATTCAGATGGCTCCGATGAAGAGAAGGTCTTGTTAATACATCTGGATAGTTTGAAGCAGTACTAGTTGTTGAGGGTTCTTAAAAGAAAAGAATTGCTATGAATATAAACTTAGAAAAACCTACATATACACTATCACAACAAAATGGTCTCTAAGAAAACAGGAGCCCTATGGCCCAAGCATTGGTTGGACTGTTAACCACAAGGTTAACAGTTCAAATCCATCCCCTCTGCTGGGTAATGAAGCAGCTGACTGCTCTTGTAAGTATTTGTAGTCTTGGGAAACTGTGAGTAAGGTTGCTATGAGTTGGAATGAACAACAGAGGTGGCTTTACATAACCTATGACCAAAATGTATTTCAGTGATGACACACAACTTCTAAAACGTCTGGTGATAAAATATAAAATTTGCAAACTCAGAACAGACGACTTCCTCCAGAACCAATCATGACTGTTATTTGTATGTCCTTCCAGATAATTTATATTTATAAGCATGCATTTCCCCTAAAATATAACCAGGGCATGTACTGTTGTGTGATTTTTTACTTACAATATAATTTTGTCTCTATCATAGAGTATTCCCTATAAAGACTACATTGTATTTCATATGAATCTACTATATTAAATTATTTCTCCAATACTCCATTCTTATTGTCATTGCTCTTTCTTAAAAGCTATGAGCTGATTCTGACTCACAGTGACCCTATATACAATAGAATAAAACACTCCCTAGAGCTGTTCTGGTTTGGCACTGTAGGTTAATTCGTCAGACTGCAAAGCCATTTGAACTTCAAGGTTGGTAATTCAAGCTCATAGGCCGCTCCTTGGAAATCTTAATAGAGGGTCACTATGGGTTGGAATTGACTCGACGGCACTTAACAACAACAAACCTGTACCAGAGTCCTGGTGTGGTACTGTGGGCTGATGCGCTAGACTGTAAGAAGGCGCTAGTCGGTTTGATATGCAAGATCAGCAGTTTAAGCTTACCAGTCACTCCTCAGAAATGCTATACAGGGTCAGTATGGGTCAGAACCAACGCGACAGCACTTAACAACAATAACCCTGCATCATCTTCACACTTGTAATTTTGTGCCAATCCATTTAGTTTAGGGTTTTCCTCTTTTCTATCAAAATTACATGTACTTCTATTTCCACATTTGTCAGAGTATTCTTCAGAGTCCTGGTATGGCACTATAGGATATCCATGGGACTGCTAACCACAACGTCAGCAGTTCAAATCCACCAGACACTCCTCAGAAACCCTATAAAAAGGGTCACTATGAGTCAGAAGTGACTCAGCAAGGAACAACAAAACTTTTCTTTCAGGAGCCCAGATGATGCTGTACGTCAAGTAGTGTTGTTCTTAAGTGCCATGGAGTAGGCTCTGACTCACAGCAACCCTGTATAGATTTTCTGAGGAGTGATTGGTAAATTTGAACCACTGACCTTGTGGGTGAAAACAACCTTTCAGTCCAGTGCATTATCCTACAGTGCCACATCAGGGCTCCTGGAAGCCTGAACTTCAGAGGAAAGGAAAGAGCATGATTGCTGAAAAGAGAAGCTGAGCAAGGACAGCAAGAGAGGGAACTGACTCATGAACTGCAAGCCAGATATGGTGTAACCATCCCGACTTTTGTAAGCAGCTTTGGCAACAGAAGGTGGCCTGGCAGAGCAGATTTATTAAGAGACAGAAAAAGTAAGGTTCCTCCTTTTCCTCATGGTCCCCCATAAGACCAGAGGTATGGCCAGCTCCCATCGGCGTCCAACTCCTTTCCCCCAGTGCAGACCCTGCTCTGGGAAGTTCACAGCCATGTAATTAGACAGCCAAGTCAGTATAAGCCGAGGGCCAACAGCCACTTCGGTGACTGGCTTCAGGCTGGCTTGGCTCCAGACCTATACAGAACCCACAGTCAAGAGACCAGTCCCCCTGCCCAAAGCTGCCCTGCAGTCCTAACAGAACCTGAAACCAGCTCCACCAAGGGTCTTAAGAAACTATTTCCGGATTGAGGGCTCTGAACATAGATAACACTGGGACCAACAGGAATTCTACCTAGGACCAGGAACTCTTCTATCACTTCCCTTCTAAAGCCACCAAGGGTGTTCCATAGCTTGCAGGAGCCTGCCCACCAGAGTTTTCTCCTCTCTGGGTCCAATAGCTACACTGTTTTGTTTTGGGGTTTGGTTTTTGCTTTTGTTGTCTGTTCTTTCTCCTATTCCTCTTTCCATTCCCTAGAATTTTGTCCTATCTCCATGTTTGTTTCCTTCTTTTCTTCTGTTTCTCATTTCCCCCCCTTTTTTTTTCTCTCTTCTTATTTTTTCTCTCTTCTTATTTTTTTCTCTCTTCTTATTTTTCTCTTCAATAGCTTCATTTTTCTGTCCCTCTTTTCTATTTAGTTATTCGTAAGTACTTTTTTTTTTTTAAATCTCTCTCTCTCAACAGTTTCCAGACAACGTGAACAGTACAGGAATACTCACAAGATAAGCCCCATGATTACCCAGCTCTCTGGGAGCAATTATCAAACTTGACACAGATAGCTCAAATAGAATAGGGAACAGAAATTAGGATTTAGAGCAATGGTAAGTAGGAAACTGTGCAAAGTGGCCCCTGGAAATTCACATGTATGTGTCATTGAGTGGATGGGCTGTATGCATGCAGAGAGAAAACCTAAGGCTTACCACCTAGCAGCTCCCATGGAATTAAAAGAAGAACAGAGATTCTAGAGGTCAAGCAATGCAAAAGAAAAAAGCAGTGCTGAGGATGATGAAGTACAGCGACGCCAAACTCTATCAAAAAAGTTTTTAAGGACCATGGTCTAGAATAACACCTACCACATTACAAGTGTTTAGGAATGTCTTGGACTTTTTCTTATATCTATTCTGACAAAGCCTAAAACTAAGTCTTCAAAAGTTCAAAATGATCATTCAGTAAATGAACTGTCTGCTTTAAAAAAAAGAGATATATATATAGAGAGAATCTAGGCTCTATATCATTTAAAATGCCAGTATTTAGTAAATAATTGCTAAATGTGCAAGAAAAAAGAAAACTATGATCCACAGTGGGAGAAGAAGGTAGCCAGTAAAACCTGAACCCAAGTTATTGCTTATGGAATACCAAGTTTCAGTTTATGGTGATGGATACAGTTACACAGTCAATTAAGGTCACTGCTGTCAGCCAGTTGCATGCCTATAAAGAATTAGCAAAAGCTACGGTAGATTTACAATGACAAAAAGGAACAAAAACGTCTGCTGAGACTGCTTATGTACAAATGAAATCTCCTAGAATCTGGATTCTTGGTTTTGAGGTTTAGGGTCATGGTTCTTGGAACGTCCCACTTAGCTGGCCTAATAACATGTTTAACGCTTCTGCCCTATCTCCTAGTTTGCTGCCTAGTACCTAGATTCTTAAAACCTTGCAAAAGCAGCCATCTAAGCCACGACAATTGGTTTCTATTCCAGAGCAAGATAGGAAGGAAGAGCGTGAGGAATGAATGGCTGTCTCTAGGAACAACTGTCTCCTTTGCTAAGAGATCCTAAGAACCAGATAATGCCCAGCCACCATTACTAAACATTTTTGACCATTGAGTCTACAAAGAATTCTGATGAAATGGGGCAACTGGATGAGATTTTTGAGATCCTTGGGAGGCTGGATCAACACCTCTAACTCTTAGCTTGAGAAAATCTTCAACTTTAAATTAAAAATATGCCCTGTGATTTTCTTAAAACCAAACAATAGTTTTAGCATTAGCTTAACCACTAAAGACTGCCTTAAACATCATGTTCATTTAGGATCTACCTATATGGGATCAATGGACATCAGCAACTACAAAGGTCAGGTAAGAAACTCTGGAGGCACTGAGTTAATGTGAGAGGAAAAACTTAGACAAAGAGAACAAGAATGATTTCACAACTCAAAGAATATATCAGTGTCACTGATTTGTACACGTAGACAAGGCTCAGTATGATTATAATACTCTACTGTGTACAATAATCTTAACAAAAATAAAATAAAGGTGTTTTTAAAAAACAACAACCGTGAATCCAAGATGGCAAAGAATCCCACCCACTCACCCCACCCCCAATGGGAGAACCATCACTGTGAAGCTCCTGGTGACCCTGAATCTGGAATTAACCCCTGTGGCCTTTGAATCCCCTAGAAGTTTTTCTGAGTGTGTTTTTTTTTTTCTTTCTTTTTAAAAATGTATTATTGTGAATTCTGTGACAGCTTACATCAGAGAACATTATTAGCTTTACATTCATCTTACTGTAGTATATCATTTCACTGCCATGGTTGCAATCCCTTCTCCATGCATCATCAACCAACCAAAAGGTATATATACCCTGTAAGCCTTACCCCTGGTCCTCAACACACGCTCCTCTCCTTCTCTGGGTCTAGAGTCCCCAGCTGTTCCCTCTCTCCATATCATCCATTCTGCCTGATCTCTAGCATCACTGTTTCTCGGGAGTAGGGTCCCGCATTCCGCTCTTCTCCCTTAATGGTCTCCTGGACTGCAAAGTCAATCACTCCCCTCGTTTTTCTACAAAATGTCTACCTTTACAATTCCAACCCTCACAGTCAGTCCTAATAGCAATCATTCACTATTGTGCCGCTACATGAGGGCCATCCCCATCTCCTTTCATCAGCCCCGCCCAGACAGATTAGATAGTACACACAGATTTTTAAACACATCACATCTCCTTTATCTCTTAGCAGAACACAAAAGGATTTTTTATAGAATACCATGGATTTGTTAGCTACACTTCTATGTTTTCACTGTATTTTACTGGAAGTATTTGCATATTTGCTGTTGTTAAGTCGTCAGTTCCTACTCATTGTGACTCTGTATAGGGTTTCTGAGGATCAGCTGGTAAGTTTGAACTGCTGACCTTGTGGGTTCACAGTCCAGTGCTGATCCTAAAGCATCACATCAGGAGTCTATATATCTCCAAATATACTATATCCATGGGTTATTCTGAATTCATTTAATAATAGAAGCCCCATCAAAATGCTACAAGTAGGCTTCCGGTTGGTGGCACCAGAGCAGTCAGGTAGGCTCTGTGGGGGAGGGGCTGAAAACCCAGG